ATCTGCACACATCTGAAACTGATTATCAGATTAATGTGAAACTCATGCAGAGCAGCTGTCAATCACTGCACACACACACACACACACACACACACACACGCACTCTCGTCTGCAGTGTGTGTTGAGTGTTTGTTGTGTGGTAAGGAGATGAGACTCACGTAAGGGTCGTCCTCCTCACACTGCCGCTCAGGGGCCGAGGGGTCAGAGGTCAGAAGCAGCTGCTGGATCAAGCCCTGCGGACAGACAGAAAGAGAGAGAGAGAGTGTGTGTGTGTGTGCGCGCAAATGTGAGAAAGAGAGAGAGAGAGAGAGAGAGAGAGAGAGCATCACACACTCGTATCTGCACACTTCTGAAACTGATTATCAGATTAATGTGAAACTCATGCAGAGCAGCTGTCAATCACTGCACACACACACACACACACACGCACGCACACACACACAATCAATAAATGTATGTGTGTGTTTGCATATGTGTGTGCATGGGCTTTTGTTTGTGTGTGTGTGTTAACATGTGTAGGGCGCTTCCAGACGTACTCATCAGCTCAACACAATATGAAATGTAAACCGTTTCTATAGTCAACGGTCTGGTGTGTGTGTGTGTTGTGTTCTGCTGCTGGTGTGTGTGTGTTTGTGTTGTGTTCTGCTGCTTTTGTGTGTGTTGTGTTCTGCTGCTGGTGTGTGTGTTGTGTTCTGCTGCTGGTGTGTGTGTGTGTGTGTGTGTTGTGTTCTGCTGCTGCTGGTGTGTGTGTGTGTGTGTTGTGTTCTGCTGCTGCTGGTGTGTGTGTGTGTTGTGTTCTGCTGCTGGTGTGTGTGTGTGTGTGTTGTGTTCTGCTGCTGGTGTGTGTGTTGTGTTCTGCTGCTGGTGTGTGTGTGTGTGTGTTGTGTTCTGCTGCTGCTGGTGTGTGTCTGATGCCACGTCTGCAGTGTTGTCTGATGCTCTGCATTGTTTATGTGGAACATCTGTGTGTCCTGAAGCCTGTTCAACAGTACACACACACACACACACACACACACACACACACACACACACACACACACACACACACACTCCGTCCAGCATCTCCATCAGCAGCGGGTTACTCATTAATGTTACACAGCCTTCTGGAATACTGGATTCTGATTGGTCAGTCACAATATTAGACGGTGTGTTATTCCCAGATAACCCTGCTGAATAACAGAGTCATGCAGGAACTGAGAATCACATCACTGAACACCTGCATCCTGCAACCTGTGTGAATGTGTGTGTGTGCGCGTGTGAGTGTGTGTGTGTGTGTGTGTGTGTGTGTGTGTGTGTGTGCGCGTGTGTGTGCGCGCGTGTTGTATATCTGACCTGGAAGCTCTGCATGCGTGTTGCTCCGGCGTTCCCGATGAATATCCCGGCTCTGCTGTGGAAGGTGAGCGGCTCCAGACTCCTGCTGAAGGTGGCGCTCTGCACGCGCTCGCAGTCGGCCCAGAGCTGCACCTCGCCGCGCTGCACGCTCAGACTGAAGCTGGCCCAGCGGCCCGTCAGCTCCGCCATCTTGAACGCAGCCGCCTCCTGCGTGCGCTCGGCTCCGGCTTCAGTGTAGTAGAGGATGACCCGCTGCGACCCGTCCTCCGCCGGCGCCAGCGACACCCCCAGCTGCACCACCCGCTGCTGCGCATCCGTGACGGCGAACAGCACGCCGCCGCGCCGAGAGGTAGCTTTAGCCGTCACCGTGATGGAGAAATCCCTGAAGAACGGGTCCGGGAGGAAGGAGCGCGCTAGCCGGCCCACGTTAGCATCCGCGCCGAAGCTGTACGCCGGAAAACCCTC